CACCCCCATCAGCACCACCCCCAGCAGCACCAGAGTCAACCGCTACCTCGACAGGCTCGACATCGTCTACCTGAGACACACCTGAGGGAGCAGGACCCTGAGGGGGGAGGGGGTCTACCGGAGGAGGACCTGGTGCAAGGAAGAGCGGCGGGGGGGGGGGGAGAGGGGCACAGTGCGGTAGGGAAAGAGACGGTAAAAGGGAACCGACTCGTCGAACGTGACGTCCTGAGAGGGCAGGACACGGCGCGAGGTGGGGTGGTAAAACTGCCAGCCAGGCGCGTCAGGGACAAAGCCAAGGAAGACGCAGGGAATAGCGCGGGCGGAGAGCTTGTCCGCAGTAGTATCGCGGACAAAGGCACGAGAACCCCAGACCCGGAACACCGACGCATCGCCAACCTTCCCCGTCCACCGCAGGGTGGGCGAGGTCTCCGGGAAGGAGACACGGGGCCAGAGGTTGAGCTGATGCGCAGCGTATCGGACCACAAACGGCCACAGAAAATGGGGGGCAGCCGCATGGACCATGGAGGTACGAGCGACCTCCATGACTAAGCCAATGCGGCGCTCAGCAACCCCATTCTGCTGCGGTGAGGCCGGGAGCGTGAACCTCTGGCGAATGCCCTCCCCACGACAAAAGTCCCGCAGAAAGTCAGAGGCAAACTCACCACCTCTGTCAGAGTGCAGACGCAGGACGGGAAAGTCCGTCTCGAACCGCTCGCGGAGCTGGAGACGGGCAACGCGGATCCAAGGGATCAAAACATCAGGGACCTCACCCTTGGTGCGCAAGGGGAAGACCGTGGTGTAACGCGTGTAGTCGTCAACTACCAGCAAAACGTATCGCTCGCGGTCCTGTCCACGGACGCGGGCTGGGCCCCACACGTCCATGTGGAGGGTCTGCAGGGGAGCAGTCGTCGGGGGAAACGAGGAGTGAGGAGCGGCGCGCTGCCGCCCCTAGACACAGGGAAGGCAGGGAGGGGCAGGCGAGGGTGGGAGAGGAGGCAGAGTCTCTGGGAGTCCTGAGACAAGGAGACGTCGGTGCATGCCACGGAGGCGCTGCACCGAGGGGTGACCAAGACGGTGGTGCCAAAGGACGGTCTGGTGCGACAAAGCGCGACACGAGCAGGGGACCGCTAGCTGACCTGACGCAGACGCAGACGCAGCTACCTGAGGTGACACAGTAGTCAGTGTGTACAGACTCGAGCCAGGCGCTCGGGTGAATGTGGCCAGGTGCGGACCAGTCCGGGAGCACGTACAGTGGGTCACACACTAACCTCCAGGAGTGAACTGGTCAACCCACACATCCTGGAGGTCAGCTCCACTCACCAAGTTCGTAGAGAACGAGGGGAGGTGAAGACCTGACAGTGAGCCAGACGGAACTGCCGGACACGGCAGAACCGTGGAGGAGTGCGCAAGGACCGGGCCCCCAGAGGGGTCCGCCAGGGAGACTGCAACCGGCCGACTGAGCGGCGTGAGTGTGGTGCTGTCGCGAAAGACGGAGCGGGAAGCACCTGAGTCAAGTGTGAAGGTGTGCAAGGCCTCAGCAGGCGCAGTACCAGAGAGAGGAGACTCACCAGCACCTGGAGCAGCAGACTCAGTAGCACCTAGAGCAGCAGCCTCACCAGCACCTAGAGCAGCAGACTCTATACCTAGGTCGGGCGGCACACACAGGGAACAGGCACCCTCAGTAGGCAATGCATACATGGCAGTGAGGATAGCATCAAAGTCCAGAGCAAAGATATCCACTCTCTGCGTCAGCAGCTCCACCCAGCTGGGGAGCTCAGCCGCGTCACCAAACTCTGTACGCCAGGCGTCGCTCAGACCGGCGGAGCAGCGGGACTGTGTGTGACCTACCGTCCCGCAAGTCTGACCAGCCCGATCACCTGTGCGAATGACGTACGGGCAGCGAGCAGTACTCCGAGACCCTCTACTCTAAGCGTACCACTCACGCAGCTGCAGGGGCGTAAGGGTCTCGCGCGGACGTCGCTGGAGCTGTATCTGGCCACCGCCAGAACCTCCCCACCGAGCAGCTCCGCCTAGACTGCCACTGCGGCCGCCGCCACCACTCCCACTGCTGCCACCACCGCCACCACCACTCCCACTGCTACCACGAAGAGACGTCATAGTGGAAAGGCAGGGCGGCGAACAGGCACTAGGGTAGGTCGAGGCGGCGCACTGTCAGGAAAAGGCGGCGCGCGGCCAGAAGGGCGGCGTGCGGCCAAAGCAGGGCAGTAGCAGGCAGCAGCAAGCAGTAGCACCTAGGGTAGAAGCACCTAGGGCTCCTTTTTTTTATATATAATTAATTATTTATTTTAGGATTTGGCAGGGCGCACTGGGCGCTGCAGAGGCGGCTCGCGGGCTGCAGGGGTGGCTCGCGGGCTACAGGGGCAGTGCACTGGCTGCAAGAGGCAGGCGCGCTGGCTGCAGGGGCGGTTTGCGGGCTGCAGGGGAGGCTCGCGGGCTGCAGACGGGCGGCGCGCGGGCTGCAAGGGTCTGCGCGCGGGCGGCTTGCACGGGGCGGCGCGACGCGGGGCGGGCAGGGGCGGCACGCAGGCAGGCAGGGCGGACGGGCGTCGTGGCGGGCTGGGGCAGCCCGCTCTGGCGACGCGACGGGCACGGGCAGGGCCGATAGGCGACGCGACGAGCTGCAGGGGCGCGCGACGCGACGGGCTGCAGGGGCGCACGGCGCGGCGGGCAGCAGGGGCGCGCGACGCGACGGGCAGCAGGGGCGCTTACCAGGGGCGGGTGCAGGGCAGGGCCGCGATGGGCGGTTAGGTCAGGGCCGCAACGGGGCGGCTGTAGGGCAGGGCCGCGACGAGGCGGCGGCAGAGCAGGGACGCGAAGGGGCGGCAGCAGGGCAGGGCCGCGACAGGGCGGCGTCAGGGCAGGGCCGCGACGGGCGGCTAGGTCAGGGCCACGACGGGCCGGTAGGGCAGGGCCGCACGGGCCGAGATGGCAGGGCCGCTACGGGCGGCAGTAGGGCAGGGCGCGCGACGGCGCTGGTGAGGCAGGCGCGAGGCGCGCTTCGGGCAGGGCCGCGAGAGGCGGCTAGGTCAGGCCGCGACGGGCGACTAGGTCAGGGCCGCAACGGGCCGTTAGGGCAGGGCCGCGACGGGCCGGTAGGGCAGGGCGCGCGACGGCGCAGGTGAGGCAGGCGCGAGGCGCGCTTCGGGCAGGGCAGGAAAAACGATCGTGGTGGGCCCTTAAAAAAAAATCGTTCTCACTAGAGAACCTGCTCTGAAACCATGTGAAGAACAGAACGAGGAATGATTGAACTAGCAAGCAGGTGGGTACAAGTAGGAAAACCTAGAAGTGTTGTACCCTATATGAACTACCCCACTACAGCCTACACAGACTATAGAATATAATTTTGACATTCTGCGCACCGACCCTTCTCTGCCGCCGTTCTACATCCTCGTGTACGTCGATGACTTGGTCTTTGCTACTGCTGACACTGAGGCACTGGCCCGCGTGAAGTCGTCGGTCCGACGACCTCGCCTTTTGAACGTCCCTCGCGTCGCCTTCGGGTTTCCCAACCCCAAACCTGCACCCAACCATCTCGCGACTCCGCGACCTCGGCCTAGCTAGCCTTGCTATATTATGCCTAGGCCTCGTTGTTTGCTCAGTAGTTGTAATCACTTCCGCGATATTGCATTATGCGCACTCTTCTTTCGTACAACTCATAACATTGAGGCTGATGTGTGTGTCGAATATGGTTACCAGTTCGACTACAGTGCGGAATTTTCCTATTCGAAGAACGCGTTCGACAATGGCATCAATGAAATCCTGGAGCATCAAATTGCCTTCGCTTCCCATTCATTCCCATCCATCCCCTATCATCCCGCACCCCATGCTCCAGCTCTCTGAAATAGGAATTTCCTGACGCTGATTTCTCTTTGATGCCTGTTTGTTTTTACATTTCCGAAAATGGTATAACGATAGAGTTTAGTGCGGGCCGTCACGGAATTTGCGCTGCTGCTGCTTTTGACGCGCTAGCCTCCCCTTCTGGCCTATTAGCTCCTCCTGCGGATTCAACTTGTTTGAGACCGCGTCGTCTCCTATCCTGATCTGAGTTATGTCATCCAGTATTATTTGCATTGATTTTAGCAGGAGATAGCACATCGCACCCGCCAAACTTGCCGCGCCTCGACAAAACTCACATTTTGTCCACTCTAAGCGCCGACCTGAAACAAGCGGCACTCGCCACTTCCTCCTGCGTATCACCGAAACGGCAAGCCCATTGACCTGCGCGACCAGGCTTAACGCTCATCGTAATCCCAAAATCGACCCCCGAGGGTCATACTTTGAGGCGGAGAGCCGTTGATGCCGACGCCCTCTCGAGGCTCGGCCGTTGATTCCATCGGCAGTGCTCTCCTCCTTTCACGGCATCATCACGTCGGGAGCGCAGAGCCTGTTAGAGGGCCCTACGACAGCAAGGGCCCTCGACGACTTGGCAAGAGAACTACGCTAAGACGTGCATTGAAAGACACCAACGCAAGGAGTGCGCTGATGTCGCGCGACTACTGCAGTGCCAACGAAGTTCGTGCTGGGGTGCTGCTGGTCTAGGGAAGTTGTGAGCACGATTCTTGGGAAGCGTGCCACTTCCTAGCAAGTCAGTGGGCGTCATATCTGGTGTTGCCGAGTTGGAGTTGGTGTTGGCTGGGGTGGCGTGTGAAAGGCCATTCCACTGCTGAGTTGGGTTGAACTTCTACGAGGCGCGTTCGCCCACCTGCACGTCACTTTCGTGAGGTTGGGTTACTGCGCAGTGCCACGCCAACTTTGTGAAACCTTCCCGTAGCCTATATCTATCTTGTGTGTTTGCTTTTGTATTCATAGTTCATATTACAATTCTACTTGGGCCAATTGCTACTTGGATTCTCACTTAGTCGTTTGAACAAGAGCACAACCGAAACTCTTCCGAGTTGCTGGCGCAACATCGTTCATATATCTAAAGCTCTCTCGCTGTCGCTATGCTCTCCATTATATTCCTTCAGAGCCAGATGCCAATGCCGGCGCCAGCAACTACTATGTACGATGCGCCTCTAAAGCCACACCGCCAAATGTCGATCGCCGCGACGGTGGCGAGGCGGCGACGTTCGAAGAGCCATTCGTCAACTCCTTCTGCGACCTCTGGTACTGCTGGGATGCTTCTGCCATGCCATGGTGACACGTGGAGTGGTAGATGCTGATTCTCATGGTTACCTGTTCTGGCCGTGGCTGAACTCATTTTGCGTACGCATTTTCCAGGTGTTTTGCGATAACGTTGTGATGAGAGTGAGCGCTGCTATTCTGATAATGGTAGGCGATAGGGGACGAATCGGTTGAACCTTAGAACCTTCACATCCACATACCCCCCTCACTCTGGCCGCAAATGTTTCATTCCTCCAGCATCTCCCCCATTCTGCCCGCATGTCTCCCATTCCGCCAAACTACCCTTTTCCGCTCTTACCCATATTCTCCGCCATCCCATCCGCCTGCATGTCTGGTCCCCCAAGCGCCCCCACCCGCCATCCCACCCCCCTGCCTGTCTGTCTTTCCCCCATGCGCGCGGCAGCATGGCGGTGCGGGCAGCAAGGCGCGCTGACGGCGGCGCTGCTGGCGGTGGTGGCTGTGGCGGGCTGCGTGGCCTTCCTGCACCTCGCCTCGCACCGCCGCATGGACTCGTTGATGCAGGTACGGCCCCTCCCTTTCACCTCAGGTACGGCGTGTTGCGGATACGCCTTCGCACCTCCCCTGCTGCAGGTTCGGCCTCTTCCTCCCACCGCCCTGCTGCCGAGCACACACACATGCATAAATACCAACAGTAGAGCGCACATCCGTGCATACCCGCCCACACCACAGCAGTCCACACATGCATGCATAAAACCCAACAGCCCACCACAAATGCATTCATAAACCCCAACAGCAGACCACACATGCATGCATAAACCCCCACAGCAGAGCACACATGCATGCATAAACCCCAACAGCATAGCACACATGCATGCATAAACCCCAACACCATAGCATACATGCATGCATCAACCCCAACAGCACACTGCACGTGCAAGCGTGCAGTGTGCTCCCATCCCCTCATCCCCCCTCATGTGCTCCCATCCCCTCATCCCCCCCCATGTGCTCCCATCCCTTGAACCCCCCTCATGTGCTCCCATCCCCTCATCCCCCATCATGTGCTCCCATCCCCTCATCCCCCCTCATGTGATCCCATCCCTTGATCCCCCCTCATGTGCTCCCATCCCTTCATCCCCCCTCATGTGGTCCCATCCCCTCATCCCCCCTCATGTGCTCCCATCCCCTCATCGCCCCTCATGTGCTCCCATCCCTTGATCCCCCCTCATGTGCTCCCCTCCCCTCATCCCCCCTCATGTGCTCCCATCCCCTCATCCCCCCTCATGTGCTCCCATCCCCTCATCCCCCCTCATGTGCTCCCATCCCCTCATCCCTCCCCAATGTTTCCCATCCCTCCCCACCCCTGCCCATCCGTCCCTCCCCACCATGCATCAGCAACTGCAAGCCCTGCAGCCGTTTGGGCTGGCGGGTGCCACCCTAGCAAGTGCTGGATTGACAGGAAACATTCAGGCGGGGGCTTCTCCCCTGACAAGTGCTCCCCTGACAAGTGCTCCCCTGACAAGTGTTCCCCTGACAAGTGCTCCCCTGACAAGTGCTCCCCTGACAATTGCTCCCCTGACAAGTCCTGCAGGTAGCTGGCATCCACGGAGCAGCGTTGCAGGGTGTCACACACAGTGGCAGCACCGGGAAGGCAGGCCCATCCTCCTATTCCCCCTCATGCCTCCATCCGCCCATACCCCCCCACCACCTGTTCTCCATGCATCAGCACTTGCAAGCCCTGCAGCCCTTTGGGCTGGCGGGAACCACTCTGGCAGGTGTCGCTCTCACAGGCGATGTTCAGGCGGGTTTCCTGCACACAGCTGCCATGCACGGAGCAGCGCTACAGAGCTTCAGGCGTTTCAGCAGCGGTAGCACCAATAGCGGCAACATCAACGCCACACACACACGGCTGACAATAGTGAGAGTTTGTTTTTACTTCTTTTGAGTCGACTCAACAGTGGCAACACCAGCGCCAGACACACGCGGCAGACGATCGTGAGAGTTTTTCTTCTATCATGCAGCTGGATGGATTGTTTTTTTTTTTTTTTTTTTTTTTTTTTTTTTTTTTTTTCCGTATGTCAATTCGGCCCGAGAGGGACGGCATGTCATTCAAAGGATCTGTTACTTGCCACGTCTTGTTTCAATCTATTAGCGGATCTTTTATTTCTTTCCCCTTCCCAATGCACCCTCCTTCCTGATCTCTTCCCTCCTCTCCCTACTCCACTCGCCCTCCTCTGACAGGGCAAAAGGGGCGGCCAGGCTGGAGGCGTGGACGAGGGGGGATGGCCGGTGATGGGTGGAATGCGGTGATGGGGGTGTGCCAGGGAGGGGAACGCATGCCACACTGCCACAGGTGGGTGCTGTGTGGATGGTTGGTTGGTGGATGGTTGCTGGGTGGGCGTTTGCTGTATGGGTGGGTGGGTGGGTGGTGCGTGGTTGGTGGGTGGCCAGTGGTTGGGGGAGTAAGGTGGTGGGGGTGTGCCAGGGAGGGGGACGCATGCCACACTGCCACAGGTGGGTGCTGGGTGGGTGGTTGGTGCGTGGATGGTGGATGGTTGGTGCGTGCGTGCTGGGTGGTGGTTGCAGGATGGGGGATGTGCGTCCAATCAGGATGTGAGTCATCAATCTCCCAACCACAGTGTGTCTGCAATTTTCCTCACAACATCACACCCCTGAGTCCTCTCTTCCCCAGCCTGTCCATTCGAACTGCGTTATCCACTCTCTCTCACATCACGCCCTCCCTACTTAATCTGCCCTGTCTAACTGTCTGCCCTGCATACATCCAGCTAGCGCAGCAGGCGTGGAGGACCAGGGGAAGGGGGAGGGGGAGGGGAATATCTGATGGTGCAGCTCCGAGGAGGGCTTAACCAGATGCGCGTAGGGGTGAGTGGGTGCAGGGGTGAGTGGGTGCAGGGGTGAGTGGGTGCATAAACCCCAACAGCAGACCACACCTGGAAGGCAAGCAGGGATGGTTGATATAAACCAGGCCAGGGGACCGGGGAGAGGCGGAGGGGGTGTCTCTGATGGTGCAACTCCGAGGGGGGCTCAGGTGGGTGCACGGAGGATGCGCAGGGGTGGGTTTGCGGGCTACTTGAATTGAAATCCAAGCAGGGATAGGTGGAAAGTTGATATTAACGAGGTGAGGGAAGTGAAATAGAAATGAGACGAATGAAAGCCGATTTACATGGCATGCATGCTCGAATGGTCTTATCGCTATGCTGAGAAATATGAACCTACACTATCATGTGTGCTCTAATTGTGACACCACCGCAGCGAGTACTTCACTCCGTTGAGCTGATTTTGAGAGTCCTCCTCTATCTCCCCACCCATCCCCACCCCCTCCCCTCCCCCACATCCCCCCCCCCTTCCCGGGTCCCCATCCTCGCCTGTATGTTGGCAGATCTGCGATTCAGTGGTGGTGGCGAAGATGCTAGGCGCGACCCTGGTGCTGCCGCTGCTTGATAACTCCTCCTGGTGGGCTGACGGCAGGTGAGACACTCGCTGGGGGGTGATAACATGATGGGAGGTGAGGCTGACGGCATGTGAGGCACTCTTGGGTGGCTGCTGGCAGTGTGTGGGGTGATGGCACTGTCGGGTGGCACTCCTCATGTTCTCTATGTGTTTATTCCCCCACCTTTTTCCTTATCATACATCCCCTCCTCCGGCGCCCACCATCCTCCAACCTTCACATTATCGCCTCTACCCTCCCCACTCCTCCCTTTTCACCCATCCTGATTCCCACTCCTACCTCTGCCACCCTTCTCAACCCCATCCCCCTCCCCACCCAAGCAGCACACTTCCCAACATGTTTGACGCGCCCCACTTCATCCGCACGCTCTTCCATGCCCAGGCGTGTCCTGAGTCAACTAAAACACACACCCCTCCACTACCTCATCTTTCATCCCTTCCCCCTCCTCCACCCACCCCCCCAATCAGCACATTCTCCGACGTGTTTGACGCGCCTCACTTCATCCGCACCCTCGCCCCCTTAGTGAGGGTGGAGCCACTCCTGCCTGCTGCACTCACAACACACCTTTTCACCCCCTCACATCCCGCTCCCCCTCCCATCAGCACATTCTCCGACGTGTTTGACGCGCCTCACTTCATCCGCAACCTCGCCCCCTTAGTGAGGGTGGAGCCACTCCTGCCTGCTGCACTCACAACACACCTTTTCACCCCCTCACATCCCGCTCCCCCTCCCATCAGCACATTCTCCGACGTGTTTGACGCGCCCCGCTTCATCCGCACGCTCGCCCCCTCAGTGCGCGTGGTGCCAAGCCTGCCTGCCACGCTCAAAGACCTGCCCCCGGTGGTGCGCACGGTGCCCAAAGCCTCTTCTCCAGACTATTATCTGAAACACGTGCGCCCCCTCAGGTGGGTGGGTGGCCTCAGATGCCCCTAAATGCCTCTCGCCAGGTGTGTAGCTGGATGTTGGATTGCCTCGAATCCCCCCAGTGCGGGTGGTGCCACGTCTACCTGCCACGCTCAAAGACCTGCCCCTGTCGTGCGCACGGTGCCCAAAGCCTCCTCGCCCGACTATTACCTGAAGCACGTGCGCCCACTTATAAGCTGGGTGGCCTCAGGTGCCCCTCATCAGGTGGGTGGCCTCAGGTGCCCCTCATCAGGTGGGTGGCCTCAGGTGCGCCTCATCAGGTGGGTGACCTCAGGTGCCCCTCATCAGGTGGGTGACCTCAGGTGCCCCTCATCAGGTGGGTGGCCTCAGGTGCCCCTCATCAGGTGGGTGGCCTCAGGTGCCCCTCATCAGGTGGGTGGCCTCAGGTGCGCCTCATCAGGTGGGTGACCTCAGGTGCCCCTCATCAGGTGGGTGGCCTCAGGTGCCCCTCATCAGGTGGGTGGCCTCAGGTGCCCCTCATCAGGTGGGTGGCCTCAGGTGCCCCTCTCAGGTGGATGGCCTCAGGTGCCCCTCTCAGGTGGGTGGCCTCAGGTGCCCCTCTCAGGTGGGTGGCCTCAGGTGCCCCTCATCAGGTGGGTGGCCTCAGGTGCCCCTCTCAGGTGGGTGGCCTCAGGTGCCCCTCATCAGGTGGGTGGCCTAGCTGTTGGGTGGCCTCAATTACCTGCAATACGTGTGAGAATCCTCCCGCCCTCGGTTCTCAAAAGCCAAGCATAAGATGGCGATAACTCAATCATATCTGCGCAATTGTCCTGCATCAGATCTCCCATTTTCACTCCTATAATCACTTTTGGGTTAATTGGTCATCCATGCCCCGCCCTTCCTCCACCACCCACCCAGCCTCAGCACCATCTCCCTCGGAACCATCACGTGGCAGGAGGGCACATGTGCTGAAGCTGAACCACTTCAAGTATCGACTCAACTGCAGCCTCCCTGCACCAGTTTCCCTTCAACCACTCTTCTAATCACTTCACGCTCATTGCTCATACTTGCCCCACTACTCTCCTGTCCTCCCCACCATCTCCCCCTCCTCCACAATCACACCACAGGAGGGCGCAGGTATTAAAGCTGAACCATTTCAAGTTCAAGCTCAACTACAGCCTCCCTGCACCAGCTTCCCTTCCATCACCCTTTAAATATCTTCAGGCTTATTTTGCTCATCCTTGATCCACTACTCGCCTCCCCTCCCCCTCTTCTCCCCCTCCACCGTCACACCACAAGAGGGCGCAGGTGTTGAAGCTGAACCATTTCAAGTTCAAGCTTAACTATAGCCTTCCAGCACCTCTCCAGAAGGTAAGAGGAGCATGGAAGGCACTCACTCACAGAAGCCTTGCAGCTTCAAGCTCAACTACAGCCTCCCCACGCCCGTGCAGAAGGTGAGTGGAGCTTGAAAGGGTATCCAGCGGCTCACAGCCCGCAAGGCAAAGAAACATTTCGGCTTCAAGCTCAACTACAGCCTCCCTGCCCCCCTGCAGAAGGTAAGAGGAGCATGGAAGGTAAGCAGGGGCTCGCAGGCACTCATAAGCCGCAAGGCGCATGGCGTTCAAAGTTCCTTTTGAGTTCGCTCACACACTCCTTCACTTCACACACTCTTTGGCTTCACACACTCTTTGAGCTCACAGACCTTTGCGTTTACACACCGTTTAGTTCGCAGAATATCACACAAACCGGCTGTTCTGTCGACTTTGGTGTGTTCAGGGTTTCGGGTAGTCCTATATATACCCGTGTCCAGTCTCCTCTCTAACATCCTCTTCGGTCCCACCCAGTAGCTGCACTGTTGAGAAAACGGCAAGTTACTTTTCAGTCAAATCAGAAGCTTTCTTCCTCCTCCTGCATCGTCTTCCTTGCAACGTTTCTTACACCTTCCCTGCCCACTCTCTGCTGTCCCCCCCTTTTAACCAGCTGCGCTGGCGGGCCACCTGCAAGGCGCTGCACTTCGTACCGGCAGTCAATCGAGACATCCCCCCTTCCCCCTTCCCCCTTGCAAATCCCCCTTCTCCCTCTCCCACCCTCGCCCCTCTCACCATCAGCTGCGCTGTAAAGCCAACTACGAGGCACTTCGCTTCGTGCTAGTCACTCGAGCCGTGGCCCGTCTCACCCACGCGCTCACGCACCCCTCCCCCCTCGCCGCCTATGCTTCCATTGTCCCTGGCTCTCCTGCTGCTGCTCCTTCTGCTGGTAGTCGTGCTGGTGCTGCTGCTCCTGTTGGTGCCAGTGGTGGTCCAGCTGCTGCTGCGACAAGTTGCGGAGGTGCAGGGCATGGGCCACAAGTGCAGGGGCAGCAGGCGGTTCAGATGGGACAGCAGGAGCAGAGGGAGCAGAGTGAGGTGGTGGGAGGGAGTGGGGAGGCAGTCAAGTATGTGGTGCTGCATCTAAGATGAGATGGGCATGGGAGGTGAGATGAGCATGCTGAGCTTTGTGATTCTTGAAATCTACATACATTGCAGAAAGTGCTGTTTTGCATGTATCTTCTGGTAAACGCTGGACAATGGAATGTTGCCTCCTTGCTTGACTCACATATCCACCCCAATCTTCTATCCATGCCACTGAATCTATGAATATCATTTATAGATTTCATTCAGCGCTTGACTGAAGCAGTGTAAGCCTTTTCATTCCCGCCGCTTAGCACTTGTAAAAAGAGTCACTTGCCACCATCCCTCCACCCCATGCATTCACCTCTCTGCATGCCCTCCCATGCACTATCCCCTCTCATGCCACATCACCCTAATTGTTCATCCCATCCCCATGCATGACCCGCCATGCACCCGCCACGTGCCATCAAGGGCAGGTACGAGCCCGACATGCTGGCATTCACCGGGTGCGACTATGGCGGAGGGAGAAAGGAGAGGAAACTTTTCGAGAGGATCAGGAAGAGGTGGCTGGAACTGCCCCGACAGGACCCCAAGCAGCAGAGGGCCAAGGGCAAGTGCCTCGTCACTCCCCCGCAGGTGTGCTTTGAGTCGACTAAAAAGATGGCCGAGAGGGGGCTGTTTGAGGGGATCAGGAGTAGATGGCCGGAGCTGCCCCGCTTGAAACCCAAGCAGCAGAGGGCCAAGGGCTAGTGCCTCGTCACTCCCTCCCAGGTGTGCTTTGAGTCGACTAAAAAGATGGCCGAGAGGGGGCTGTTTGAGGGGATCAGGAGGAGATGGCCGGAGCTGCCCCGCTTGAAACCCAAGCAGCAGAGGGCCAAGGGCTAGTGCCTCGTCACTCCCTCGCAGGCAAGTGCCTTTGCGGAGCCTCACATTCCCCCCTCTACCCCCCTCCACCCCCTTCGTTTCCTTCATTCTCCCTTTCCTGCCCCTCCTCGTTCCCCAGGTGGCAGCGGCCCTACAAACGCTAGGTTTCCCGCCCTCAACGTGGCTGTACATCGCCTCGGGTGAGCTACATCACGTGGCCCTTTCTCCCGCCACACCCTTTACTGTCCCCCATGTTCCCCCTACAGGCGCTGGGCTTCCCCCCATCAATGCGACTCTACATCGCCTCGGGCGAGCTCCATGGGGGGGGCTCCACTCTGCGCCCTCTCTCAACGCCCCCCCACTCCTTCCCCCTCTCCTCCTTGTTTCCCAGGTGGCAGTTGCGCTACAAGCCCTGGGATTTCCCCCTTCCACCCGTCTCTACATCGCATCGGGTGAGCTGCATGGGGACCCTCAGCTCTGCTTCCTTTACTCAATGCCTTCCCCCTTGCCACTGACTGGCACTCCCTCACTCGCTCCCTGTTCCCATTGTTCCCCAGGTGGCAGTGGCCCTACAAGCCTTGGGCTTTCCCCCATCAACATGGCTCTAGGTCGCATCAGGCGAGCTGCATGGGGGGCCCTCCGCGCTGAGCCCTCTGCTGCACGCCTTCCCCTTTGCCACTGACAAGCACTCCCTCGCTCGCTCCCTCTCTCTGCTCCCCCTTGTTCTTCCTTGTTCCCCAGGTGGCAGTGGCCCTACAAGCGTTAGGTTTCCCCTCATCCACGCGCCTCTACATCGCTTCGGGTGAGCTGCACGGGGGGCCCTCCGCCCTGCAACCTCTCCTCAAGGCCTTCCCCTTTGCGACCGACAAATACTCCCTCGCTCGCTCCCTCGCTTTTGCTGGGGAAAAGGAGGGCAAGGTGGCCGACAGGGATGGGTCAAGATGGGAAGGGGGAGAGATTGGAGCAGCAGAGGGTGTAGCGGCAGAGTGGGGAAGGGGGGGAGACGAGGAAGGGGGAGATGAGGAAGGGGGAGTCGGGCGGGGGGTATTGGAGGGGCTGCAAGGGAGGAAGACGCTGCTGGCGGCAGTGGACTATGAGATGTGCCGGCGAGGGCACATGCTGGTGCTGAACAACAACGGCAACATGGCTCACCTGCTCTCGGGGCACAAAAGGTGCGGTTTGGAGTGGTGGGCAATGGTGCTGAGGGGGGTGGGGCACATGCTGGTTCTGAACAGCTATGGAACATGGCTCACCTGCTTGCTGGGCATACAAGGTGGGGTTGCTGCATTGAACTGGTGGGGATTTAGAAGTGGGGTGGGAATGTTGGGATGGGTTGGGGAAACCGGGCATGGTGTGGGGAAACTGGGAGTGGGGTGAGAAGAGATTGATCGGGTGCATGTGATGGGGCTTCAAGCTTCAAAGCTTGTGTGGACTCGACCCCCCCCATCCCCCTCTTTTCAAAACCCTTCAAAGCCACATCCACCCCCCGCCCTTCACTCCCCGCATCCACGAGTCATCGACTCAGAAGCACGCTCATGTCTGTATCGTTCCATCATCCCATTCAAACTCGTGCTAAAAGTGTTGTTTCGAGACGTCTCAAATCATCCCATTCAAACTCCACCACTCAACCCCCACCCAAACCTCCAACTATCAGTTCGGTGCAGCTGTTTGGCCCCTCCATCTTCTTTTGAAACCAACATTCTTACTCCCATTCCCTTCAACAGCCCCTCTCAACCCCCAGACGTCCCCCCTACTCCCTCCCTCTCCCCCTGTTCCCCATCCTCCCACCACCTTCCCACCAAGTACGACAGATGGACAGCACGGTGCGGTGCAGATGCTTGGTTCATCCATCCTTCTTTAAGGTCATCCTTATCACTCCCATCCTATTTAGTACTCCCCCTCACCCCTCAAACCCCCCATCACACACTCCTCCCCCTCTTCCCATTCCTCCTTCCGCCTTCCCGCCAGGTACGACAGGGTGGGAAACACGGTGCAGCTGTTTGTGTCAGAATGTTATATTGTCTAGTCTGCAGTGGGGTACGCAGTAGTGAGTACAGCCCTGTTAGGGTTTCATATTTGCATCCCCTCTGCTTGCTAGTTCAACCCCTCTTCTTTCATGTCTCCTTCCTAAAACATAAGCCCTAACTAGGCTTAGGATTCTAACATGCTATCAGAGCGACTACGCCCCTGGCCTGTGGGCCCACCTGCTTCCGCTGCTGTACTGTCTGTCGCGCGCCCCGTGGCACGCGACGTTTTTTCTTCCCGCCACGCGCTCGAGGCGCGTGGCGGTTTTCTGCCCGCCTGCCTGCTGTGCGCCCCGGGCGTGCGCGGCGGTTTCACGCCCCGTCGTCCGTCGCGGCACCCCCAGGGACCCGCGCGCCGCCCCCCCGTCGCCTGTCGCGGCGCCCCTGGGGACCAGCGCGCCGCCCCCGTCGTTCATCGCGGCACCCCCGGGGACCCACGCGCCGCCCCCGTCGTCCGTTGCGGCGCCCCCGGGGACTGTCGCGCCGTCCCCGTCGTCCGTCGCGGAGCCCCCGGGGACCCGCGCGCAGCCCCCCGTCGCGCCGCCCCCGTCGTCCGTCGCGGCGCCCCCGGGGACTGTCGCGCCACCCCCGTCGTTCGTCGTGGCGCCCCTGGGGACCCGCGCGCCGTCACCCGTCGCCTGTCGCGGCGCCCCCGGGGACCCGCGCGCCCCCCCTTTGACCCCGTGCGCCGCGGGGCTGCTTCCCCCCCGCCCCTCCCCTTTCTCCTTCCTCTCCCTCCTACGCGTGCAGCTATGGGGGTGGCGGGTATAGGGGTGGCGGGTGTGTGAGCCGTCCCCTGCTCCTCCTCCTCCGTCTCCCACTGCTGCAGCTGCTGCTGAGGGGGGGAGGGTGTGGGGGAGACTTGGGAGTGGCACTAGGGCCGAGGGGTGTGACACGGGGGGGGTGGGACAATACGAGGGGGGTGAGGGCGGGTGGCCGCCGTGAAGTCCGCAGCTCTAGTCGCCCGTGAGACCGTTGCGTCAGAGGCCCGTGGTTCAGTTGCTCTTGCCGGCGAGCGAGCCAGTTACTCCGGTTACCCATTGCTCCGGTCCCCAGAGGGTCAGTTGCTCTTGCCGGCGAGCAAAGCCAGTTACGCCGTTTGCGACCAGTGCCAACAGCTTCAACGGCCGCCCACCTCCTCTCCTCTCCAGTTTCCTCCTCCTCCTCACTTGCCCTCTGCTATGTCTGCCACTAGGCTAATTTGTGAACTTGCTCTATGACTGCTTGTTGTGCTGATTATACCCCACTTTGCCTATGGGGGTGTGTCAGAATGTTATATTGTCTAGTCTGCAGTGGGGTACTCAGTAGTGAGTACAGCCCTGTTAGGGTTTCATATTTGTATCCCCTCTGCTTGCTAGTTCAACCCCTCTTCTTTCATTTCTCCTTCCTAAAACCTAAGCCCTAACTTGGCTTAGGATTCTAACAGTTTGGCTCCTCCATCCTGCACCTCCTCGCAGCCATCCAGCAAGGCGATGCCAAGAGCGCCCACAAGCTGCGCAACCAGACGCTCAGGGGAGATGAGAGCAACGGGAAGGCCGCAGTGAGAGGAAGCTTCTACTCGTTTACCCGGGAGTGCTTGTGTGAGAGATCGGATCATGTGACTGGCGTTATTTATTCATGAAGCCATGAGGCTTTTCCCATGTGGTGCCCAGCGCAGGGGCGAATGGTGCCTCAGCAGCAAGGCTGGCCAGATATGGATGTATAATATAAGACAAGAGTCTTGCGTTCAGTTTGTGGCCAATGAAAGGGCCCTCGTACGGTATGCATTTCTTCATGAGGCCCTGCTCGTGGTGCTCAGAGCAGAGGGGGATGTTGCGAAGGCAGGATGATGGCCGATTGTAGTGTACAATATAGGGCCAAGTCCGCCTAGCAAAGGTCCTGATTCCTTGTAAAAGTTGTGAGACCTGATCACTTGTAAACATGTACCGGTCTGTACGGTACCATAATTACTCTTATAATTACTGCAAGATTATGTGTGGTGCCCCAAATGGGTGGATGTATTTATACAAGGCTGTAAACTCCTCTCAGTTAGAAAGGCTGTAGCCAGGTCTCTGGATAGGATTTGAGGTACTCTTTCTCGTAAGGCCAACACCCAGCTTTCACTCTTTCTGTAAGGGTACTTCACAAAAACTACTCTTAAAAATCAGGATGCAAACAAATAAACAAATTCCTAGTAATTTGACACTCAACATTACGTAGGGTGTTGGTGTTGCTTGTGTTATTTGGTCATAGTTATGTGGAGGACCGAAGTTCGATACCTGGTGCGGGCATCCGATGCGGAAATCATGTTTTACGCGATTAATCATACAAACCTCTCTTAGATCGAACTAGATTTCATTTGTGCTACTACACCACATAGCTCTGAAATACCTCCAGCCACACCCTCATCCCCCCTCACCCCCCCCCCCCCCCCCCTCCCCCCCCCCACGGTGAAGCTGCGGCAGGGAGGGAGGGGCAGCGCGCGCTGCTGCGCCTGGTCGCGCAATGGTGGCGAGCGGGGCGCGCTGGCGACCGTCGCCGGGGCTGGCGGGCTGGCGCACGCGCTGGCGACCGTCGCCAGGGCTGGCGCACGCGTTGGCGACCGTCACCGGGGCTGGCGCACGCGCTGGCGGCCGTCGCCGGGGCTGGCGCACGTGCTAGCGACCGTCGTAGGGGTTGGCGCTTGTGCTGGCGACCATCGTAGGGGCTGGCACTGGCGCTGGCGACCGTCGACGGGGCTGGCGCACGCGCTGGCGCAGGTCGCTGGCGCACGCGTTGGCGTTTGCGCACGCGCTGGCGCTGGTCGCTGGTGCACTCGCCATGGCTCGCTGGTTTGTTCGCCACGGGCAGAACGTGACGAGAGGAACCGCGGGGCGCAAAATAACGGACGCGACTGGTGGGCCCATGAGAACGGTCCTGAATCGGGACATGCTCTGATACCATCTTAAGAAGCATGCACAACGGAATGGTTGAACTAGGGAAGTAAGAGGCACAAATAGCAACCCTAAAAGTGTTGTACTCCGTAGAGTGCTACTCACTGTAGCCTATAATAACATTTGACAGTGAGACCAACTGGTCACTTGAAACCATGTATGTATAATTACCCTTTTAATCACTGCAAAATTGATATGGGGTAGGCCAAGTGGGTGGCCCTAAATAAACTTAGTTGGGCGCAAGTATATGGTAGTTTGCAAGTGCAAAGAAGATTTAATATATTGTGAGCGAGCGAGCTTGCAAGGGGGGACAGGGGTAGAGGGGGACATAAGCATGAGGATGAATGCATTCTAACCCCTTACAACTCTACCAACACATGCTCAGTTGCTGTTTCGGATCAGGGAAAAAAATCGCAAGTCGTGGACGTGGACGAACGCGTTTACAAATGTCTGGATTGCACCGAGGATGACTCGCCGACCTCCATAGATGCCACACTTGGGGTGGCCACGTGGCTTCCACAAACCAGGAAACCAGGAAATGAGGCTTCATACAAACCAGGAAATGACAAATGTACAGTTACATTTTAACTAGACACTCAAGTCATTGATAACTATTAAACAGTCATATCCTTAGGCCTGCTCAAGAACAACCCGTACTTGAGAACGATACGGGAAGTACCCAAGAACTCCGTGCCCTAACGTATGATTGTTGCGTGGACCGAATATGTATAGCGTGTGTTCTCACGAGGTTTAGTGTACCTCTACGCACCGTGCTGAATGAATATGCAAGAATGGATGACAATGTTGTACAATAACACAACGGTTTGAATGTCCGTGCAAGAATGGATGACAATCCAACACCATACCACAACGGATTCACCATGTCGCGCAACGCACAGGCCTGAACGCTGCATCGTCACACTGTCTAAACATGGCTGTCGGTAACGCATCTACGCTTGTGCGTTGGGCCTGTGCTTCATACCACTCCTTCTAAGCACCTTGTTGAATGTCCGTGGAAGAATGGAGAACGATCTAACACCATACCACAACGGATTCACCATGTCGCGCAACACACAGGCCTGAACGCTGCATCGTCGCACTGTCTAAACATGGCTGTCGATAACGCATCACCGCTTTTGCGTTTGGGCCTGTGCTTCATACCACTCCTTATAAGCACCTTGTTGAATGTTAGTGCAAGAATGGATGACAATCCAACACCATACCACAACGGATTCACCATGTCGCGCAACGCACAGGCCTGAACGCTGCATCGTCGCACTGTCTAAACATGGCTGTCGGTAACGCATCTACGCTTGTGCGTTGGGACTGTGCTTCATACCACTCCTTCTAAGCACCTTGTTGAATGTCCGTGCAAGAATGGAGCACGATCCAACACCATACCACAACGGATTCACCATGTCGCGCAACACGCAGGCCTGAACGCTGCATCGTCGCACTGTCTAAACATGGCTGTCGGTAACGCATCTACGCTTGTGCGTTGGGCCTGTGCTTCATACCACTCCTTCTAAGCACCTTGTTGATTGTCCGTGCAAGAATGGATGACAATCCAACACCATACCACAACGGATTCACCATGTCGCGCAACGCACAGGCCTGAACGCTGCATCGTCACACTGTCTAAACATGGCTGTCGATAACGCATCGCCGCTTGTGCGTTGGGCTTGTGCTTCATACCACTCCTTCTAAGCACCTTGTTTAATGTCCGTGCAAGAATGGATGACAATCCAACACCATACCACAACTGATTCTCGTTTGTTACTATTGATCATCGTGTTAGAATGACTTCCGCTGGCGATAAACCGCTGTGGCAAAGCCTAAAAGTGCGCAGTACATCTGTCACAAGTAATACTTCTGGACGGTCGTTGTGTGTGTGACGTGAGAATCACCGATTAACTTACCTCAACCCCATACTAAACCATTTGCAACGAAGTGTTTGATGAATTCTATTGTTGTATGTTTGATTTAATTTAGCTGCTATGTGCAACACTGTGCGTTCGCGACAACACTGTACTTTGCAGGGATTTGTTTAATTTCGCACTTTTGGTTCCACAACCGTTGTACCCTTTGTAGTGATTGATGCATTGGCAACCGTGATTGGCCGACGCATCCTAAACGATTCCCCCCGCAACAGAAGCACCAGCCAAGAGGTACTTCAGCCATTGAGTGGCTGAGATCGAGCGGTAGGTGGGTTTATGCTAGGGTGGCTACACGTACAACGTCCGATATAGCCTGATAGGGTTACAGTAATCTCTCTAGTCTCGCAACCCACCCCAACCACCCTCGTGCCCCACCCACCTGCTTCTTGTCAGATTTATATGACATAGCTACTGTAGGCTATAGTGGGGTAGCACATATGGGGTACAGTTTTCTAGGGTTTGCTTCTTGTACCCAACTTTCACTTAGTCATTTCATTCCTCGTTTCTTCTCATGGTATCGAGCAGGTTCCCTAATGGGAACGATTCCTAGGGCCCACCACCACGAAAAAAATTTTTCCTGCCCGGAGCGCGTTTTGCGCCGGCCCGAGTCGCGCCGCCCTTTCGGCCCGTCGCGCCCGTCGCGCCCGTCGCGCCCGTCGCGCCCGTCGCGCCCATCGCCACCTACCTCCGCAGCCCCGCCACCTACCTGTGCGGCCCCGCCACCTACCTGTGTGGCCCCGCCACCTACCTTCGCGGCCCCGCCACCTCACTGTGCGGCCCCGCCACCTACCTCCGCGGCCCCGCCACCTACCTGTGCGGCCCCGCCACCTACCTTCGCGGCCCCGCCACCTCACTGTGCGGCCCCGCCACCTACCTCCGCGGCCCCGCCACCTACCTGTGCGGCCCCGCCACCTACCTTCACGGCCCCGCCACCTACGTTCACGGCCCCGCCACCTCACTGTGCGGCCCCGCCACCTACCTCCGCGGCCCCGCCACCTACCTGTGCGGCCCCGCCACCTACCTTCGCGGCCCCGCCACCTACCTTCGCGGCCCCGCCACCTACCTCCGCGGCCCCGCCACTTACCTTTGCGGCCCCGCCGCCTCCTCCCAGCGGCCCCGGACGCCGCCCTCTCAGCGGCCCCGCCGAGCCGCCCAGCAGCCAAGCCGCCCAGCAGCCGAGCCGCCCAGCAGCCGAGCCGCCCAGCTGCCGAGCCGCCGAGCCGCCCAGCCGCCGAGCCGCCCTGTCCGCAGCCGAGCCGCCCAGCAGCCGAGCCGCCCCGCCGCCGAGCCGCCCAGCCGGCGAGCCGCCGAGCCTCCCTGCAGCCGAGCCGCCCGAACCGCCCTGTCCGGTAAGAGCAGCGCCTCTCTCACAGCACTGCCCTCGCCCTACTGTTTGCACTGCTAGTCTACTGCTGTCATGGCTACCCCTAGTGTCCTCGCTTTTGACGCTGAGGGTCGGGCCATTGACTTTGACGTCTGGATAGATGACCTGCAGCTTTTCTTACAGTGCGACAGAGCAGACGGCCTCTCCCTCTTTGACCTCACTTCTGGTGCCTCTCCTGCCCCCGCTGCTGATGCTGACGCCACCGTTCGCTCACAGTGGGCCACGCGCGATGCTGCTGCACGTCTTGCTGTGCGTCGCCACCTGCCTACCTCTGAGCGTGCGCACTTTAGCCAGTACAAGAGTGCTCACACCTTGTACGACGCTGTAGTTGCGCGCTACTCCTCCCCTGCCACTGCTGCACTGAGCCGCCTCATGCTACCGTACCTCTTCCCTGACCTTGCTGCCTTTCCCACAGTCGCTGACCTCATTACGCACCTCCGCTCTAGTGACACTCGCTACCGCGCTGCGCTTCCTGCTGAGTTCTGCGCCAAGAACCCCCCCCCCATGTACATCACCCTCTACTACATAGTCACCCGTCTCCCTGACTCCCTTCGCGTAGTCAGGGACCACTTCCTCTCGGTTTGTCCCACCACTCTCACCGTTGACCTCCTCGAGAAGGCCCTCCTAGCAGCAGAAAAGAGCATAGTCGCTGTAGGAGCCTCTCGTGGTGACCCTCGCAACCCCATCTTTGAGGGGTGTTCCCCGTCCCCTCTTTTGCCCTCTGTTGCCTCTGCTGCTGCGGCCGACCTCGCTGGTTTGGAGTCGGTTGGGGCAGCGTCTACCCCTAGCGGGAGACGCCGCCCTGGCAGGGGCAAGGGGGGCAGGGGCGCTAGAGGAGCTAGCGGGGGCGGTGGAGGCGGCGGTGGAGGTAGTGGAGGAGGTGGGGGTGGCGGTGGGAGTGGTGGCGGGGGTGGAGGTGTAGGTGGCGGCAGTGGAGGCGCAGGAGGCAGCGGCGGTGGCGGAGGGAGCGGAGGTGGCGGCGGTGGAGGAGGAGGCGGCGGAGGAGCTGGAGCTGGTCGGGGTGGCGCTGCGCAGAGGGTCAGCTCCGGTGGTGGTCAGCGCCAGCAGCAGCAGCAGCAGCAGCAGCAGCAGCGCACTCGTGACGTCCCCTCCCCTCAGCAGCTCCGTGAGTGGTACACTGCACGCCAGAGGGGTGGGGGTGCTGGTCCGTGCACCTACGTCCTGCGCACCGGCGACCGCGCGGGTGAGCAGTGCGGGGGTGCGCACTCCACCCAGCGCTGCTTTGGCCGCCTCACGGACGCTTGGCGTCACCAGTTCCCTGAGGCCACAGAGATCCCCCGCTGGGGTGAGCTGTCTAGGGCGGGTGTAGCTGTCTTTGACCTTGACTTTGATGCTATTCTTGCTGCCGTGTATACTGTGACTATTAGTGATGAGGGTGACTGTTAC